CAGTCTGGGGGCACCCCTTGACACAGTCTGGGGGCACCCCTTGACACCGGAGCTTCTGTGTAACATCTGTGTAAGCCTGTGTTAACTCTGCCCTCCAGCAAGGAGTAAAACTGGGTTGAAAAATCTTCTTGTATCCTCATTGTGGCTTATTTGATTAATTCATTCAACCTTTATTTAGACAGGTAAATCCCATTGAGCCTCGATGACATTTACTAGAGAGACCTGATTAATGAGATGATGAAAGGTGAAAGAGGGTAATTATACAAAATTTTGGTCCTTGAGCCGGTCCTAAACATCTAGACTCGGATCCACCAAGTTTGATCTGAACCACACACGGTGGAGTAGATCTCCTTTTGAAAGACCTCTGGCTTGAATTGCTGAATTTTGAAGGCCAGATTGCTGTTGGTTTGGAGCACAGTGACGGGGAACAGACGAATGAAGCAGCGCATGGAGGAGGTGAGAAGATTGTTTCTTGTTTTCTTTGGAGGCTCTGAGAACCTTGGTATAGTCTGGGACTGCATTATCATAGAGTTCATGTGTCGACGGGGAGTCACGGAGGGACTCCCGTTCAGTGGCCAGGATGGGACTGACCTTTTCAGAATAGGGTTCTGGGAATCCCACTGTTGGCTGTGGGCATTAGGGGTTGAACGACTACATAATTTTTAAACTCGACATTACAACAAGTAGAACTCGAGTACTTGATGACGTCATAGGATCTCAAGATGAAAAAATTAATAAAAAATAAAACCGCAAAAAAACATCATTATTTACAAAAAAAAAAAAAAGACCAACAAAACATTGAGTATATTATGCTCCTACCACCGCCCGCTGTGGTGCGCATTAAGTTTAGTTTTAGAGATTAATGTTTATAGTTTTTTTATAGGTTTAGAGATTAATATTTTTTGCTTTTTGTTTGTGAATCAGAGGAAGCTGGTTCTGGTTTGGTTGATTGGACCTGGTGTTACACCATATTCTGTGACCTGCAACAGTGAATGCAACACCGCCCCCTACGGTCACAATATACGGTGGTCACAGAAAATGGTATAACACCGGTTCGCAACGAGCTCCAAACAGTCAGGAAGTTGATTCATTTTCTGTTTCCTTACGGTAGTTGAACCGGAAGATTCATCTTTAGTGAAATATTTCCAGACTATTGATGTATTTCTACCTGTTTGCCAAGACTGGGCCTGCTCTGCTCCATCTGTCTGCTGGGAGGAATCCATTGGGTAGCTTCTACTAGTAGCCCGGTGCAGATCACATGACACAATGACGTCACTGCGAATACTCAACTAAAAACTCGATAGATGTCCTAGGAATCGACCTGTCAATTACTCGAGTAGTCTGTTAAAGCCCTAGTGGGTATACGGTGAAAGTGCCACCAAGGGTCACAGCATGGGAGATCTGACATCCCAAACAGCCAGAAAGAACTGGCTTCATTTAAAAGCATGCACATTATTTCATGAAGGGAATTTACGGAGGGACCCTTGAATCAGGCTGATAGCCAGGAACTATTATCAGGTATTATATAGCTTTATAGGTATTATAGGTATTATAGCTTTATATCATTATAGCTATTAATCAGGTCTCCCTTGTAAATGAGTCCCCGAGGCTCAATGAGACTAACAACCTGTATAAATAAAGGTTGAATTGAAATTACTATTTTAGACAGCAGTGAATTATAGCACCTCTAATTCTGTCAAGCGTCCCCCCCCCCCCCCCCCCCAAACACACACACAAACTTCTATGTCCGACCCGAACTCTTCTGAATTCAGTCCTGTGCGTTGTTCTCTTCCAATCTCTATCACCACTGTCTTCAATTCTCTGTTCTCGGACAATCATCCATTTATTTTAGATAATAAATTGGACTGTCTTTTTAACATTTTGATCGCTGTTATTTTGACTCATTTTGAAACGTGATGTGAATAATACACATCAAACATTTCACTCATTTTTTTTACTGCAGCTTTTTAATTTATTATCTTTGAAAAGTATGCAGGAGTTCTGACACATTAGCAGTTGTGCGCGCTCCGCAGAGCTGTCTGGAGACGCTCCTGTGCATAAAACGTGCACTGTTTGCAGGGCACAAAGCTGAGCAGGTGAAGCCGACACCCCACCCACATCAAAAATTACAGTAAATACGATGAGTGCTACGTTTGTGCTGGTTTGTGCCGTTAAAATGTTCGTTTGCGCTGTTGGATTCTGAGACACAGATGAAGGTGGATGAAGACACTTCATCCCCGCGGGACATGCGGTCAGCGTCTCTGCTGGCAGCAGCGAGCTTTTGCGCCTGCCGCAGCAGTAATATCCACACCATGGACAACGTCTCCTGTTGTTGTATTTTTAATAAATAATCAAAATAAAAATGTGCGATGACTTTTATGGGCAGAGATATGAGCTGATGAATCCAATTGAACAGTTGTCGGAACGCACACAGTGAAAATGAGGGAGTTACCAGATCTTGTTCCGGCAGGATGTGGCTCAAATTAAGCACTGTGCACCCCTATTATTCATTAAAAATACAAGGAGAGGACAGACTTATTGCTTCATCAGGTGTCTTTTCCCCTTGCCAGGTTTCACAGAAACACTATGTCACAAACACAAAAGTCCCTCTGCATGGAAATCCGAGTGTAAAGCTCATCCATTTTGTTCTCCAGAGACTGAACATTTGCAAAGAGCATGACCAGTAGGGTTAGCCTTCCATTGTCCACCAAGCACCAGAGCCTTCAGTCAGCTCCTGCCTGTCTTTCACATCTCCGCTCCGGCTTGTTGTTCTCAGGTAGGCTCCCTATCGGGGCCCGACTGAGTGTCAAGTTAGCATAGCATGCTAGCTCAGAATGTAATTCCAGTACGATCGGGTCGAAAACTCTGAGTTGACTATGCTCTCTCAGTTGTAATAAGGTCGCTCAATCATAGATGAGATGCATGTTGACTCGACAACAACAACAACAACAAAACAAAGTAAAAAAGAAAAATAAATAACTTGACTCGGAGAACTCTGCAATGTCGCCCTCTAAGGAGCGCCATCTTGGATCATAAGCAAGTACTGGTACTGGTTTCTCCAGTACCAGTAGTAGTGAAGGTGACATACAAGTACACATGTTACACATGTACATTCTGTATACCTGTACACAGTATATATGTAAAAATAGTATAGATGTACATATATACAATAAACAAGTACAGTCACAGTATTCAGTATACATGTGCATAGGTTCAGTGTACATGTAAAAGTACAATGAAAGTACTGAAACTTACTGGAAAAACTTGAAGGCTTTGAAGGTGAATCCTCTGGAGGAGAATAAGTCCTTCAGTGTGTCCTCACAGATGGAAGTGCTGGGAGACAAGGACAGAGACATAAGGACAGAGACATGAGGACAGAAGCATGAGGACAGAGACGTGAGGACAGAGAGACATGATGGAAGAGGTGTGAGGACAGAGACATGAGGACAGAGACATGAAGACACTCAGAGGAACATGAAGTGGGCAGTCTTACGGGATGTTGGACAGGTGCAGTGTCGCAGATGGAGGGAAAATATTGTTGAAGTTTTTGGATCCGGGTTTTTTGAAGCGGTGGAGTGCGGAGCCGGAAAAGTCCTGAGTCAGCACCTGCTCCTCTTGCCCCGCCCCCTCGTGAGGCAGCTGCACCACAGGATGTTTGGACAGAGTCACCCGAATCACATTACCATGGAGACGCTGGCTGTTCAGGTGACCCATGGCTGCGGCAGATAATAAAAAAAAAACATTTTTATGACAAACAAAAAATTTAATATCTGCTTACAAAATTAAACAACTAGTGTACCAGAAATCAGGGGCTGACATGAAGATAATCTCCAGGTTGTCCTCAACTTTAAATACCGAAGACAAAGTAGTGCACAGAAATGTACCTTAGTAAAAGTACACATTATACTGCATATATTGGATTGAACGACTAAATAAAAATAAAAAGTCGACATTAACATGATAATAGTCGAGTTGACCTCGACTAGTTGATGATGTCATAGACTTATAAGAAAACCCCACGTCATTTATTATTTATAAAAAAAGAAAAACAAAACATCAGGAGTGTATATTTATGCTCGGACCATTTATCATACTGTAAATAAGTAATAAGAAAACCAAAACTACAAAAGTTAGTTTTATTTTATTTAATCCATTAAATAAAATAAACCATCATGGTGGTGGATTCTCCGGTGGTGTGCACCCGTTTTTATTTTATTTAGTGGATTAAATAAAATAAAACTAAAACCAGGCGGGGGGCAGTGGTGGGATCCCACCATGGATTAAATAAAATGAAACCCCTTTTCATATATACACTGCTCACAAAATTAAAGGGAACACTAAAATAACATCCTAGACCTCATTTAATTAAATATTCTCATTGGCAAACTTTATTATTAACACAGTGGAATTGATTGAGAAGAAAATAACACAAAAATTATCAATGCAAATCAAAATTATTTCACCATGGAGATCTGGATTTGGGTTCATACTCAATATGAAAGTGGAAAATAACAAGACAGGCTGATTCCACGTCAGTGAATCTTCCTCAAGACAAGTCTAAATGAGGCTCAGTGTGTGTGTGGCCTCCACGTGCCTGTGTAACCTCCACACAACGCCTGGGCATGCTCCTGATGAGAAGGTGGATGTTCTCCTGAGGGATCTCTTCCCAGACCTGGATTAGAGCATCAGTTAGCTCCTGAACAGTCTGTGGTGCGATGTGGCCTTGGTGGATTGACTCAAACATGATGTCCCAGATGTGCTCAATTGGATTCAGGTCTGGGGAACGGGCAGGCCAGTCCATAACATCAATGCCCTCATCAGGCAGGAACTGCTGACGCACTTCAGCCACATGAGGCATTGTCATGCATAAGAAGGAACCCAGGGCCCACAGCACCAGCATATGGTCTCACAATGGTTCTGAGGATCTCATCCCAGTATCTTATAGCAGTCAGGGCACCTCTGGCTAGTACATGGAGGGCTGTGTGGTCATTCAAAGAAATGCCTCCCCACACCATGACTGACCCACCACCAAACCGGTCATGCTGGAGGATGTTGCAGGGAACATAACGTTCTCCACGGTGTCTCCAGACTCTGTCACGTCTGTCACATGTGCTCAGTGTGAACCTGCTTTCATCCGTGAAGAGCACAGGCACCAATGGCGAATCTGCCCTTTTTGGTGTTCCCTAGCAAATGCCAATTGTCCTGCACGGTGTTGGGCTGTAAGCACAGGTCCTGTATGTGGATGTCAGGCCCCAAATCACCCTCATGGAGTCTGTTTCTGACAGTTTGAGTGGAAACATGCACATAGTGGCCTGCTGGAGGTCATTCTGTCGGGCCCTGGCAGTGGACCTCCTGTTCCACCATGACCAAAGGACGAGGTAGCGGTCCTGCTGCTGGGTTCTAGCCCTCCTATGGCCCCCTCCATGTCTCCTGGTGTACTGGCCTGTCTGCTGGTACCTAGTCCATGCTCTGGACACTGTGCTGAGAGACACAGCAAATCTTCTTGCCACCACTCGCATTGATGTTCCATCTTGGATTAGCTGCACTACTTCAGCAACTTCAGTGAGCTGTTAAAAACGCCTCATGGTGCCTCCATGTGTGACAGAACTGACAAAATGAAAAAGTGACTAAAAGTTCAACCAGAAAGGACGAGAACAGAGAATGACCTGTGGTCACCACCTGCAGAATCACTCTTTTATAGAGGTTGTCTTGCTAATCGCCTCTCATTCCACCTGTTGTGTTTCCATTTGCACAGCAGCTGAAACTGATTCACAATAAGTGTTACTACCTAACTGCTGACACGGAGTCCACAGAGGTGTGACTGATTTGGAGTTACATCGTTTTGTTTAGGTGTCCCCCTTCATTTTTTTGAGCAGTGTATGATTATTTGTCTTCTTTCAGCTGCTCCCTTCTTCAGGGGTCGCCACAACAAACTAACTTGCACAAAGACTTGGCAATGGTTTTTACATCGAATGTCCTTCCTGACACAACCACAGACCACAGAGCTACCACAGTCCTCTGTGTGGAGCAGAGAGCTGACATCTAGGGTGCCCAGGGGAATAGATGGTGGGAGTTAAGGGCCTTGCTCAAGAGCCCAGGGTGGGGCAAATGAGGGTGGAGGCAGGTGTGGATGCTTCACCTATCCCACTCACATTTTGATATTGTTGGTACAGGGAGTTGAACCGGCAATCTTCTGATCACAGGCCCACCTCCTCTAACCTCTGCATCACCATCTTTTGCTATTATATAACTTTGTTATATTAAAAAATATAGCATATTGTGTCATTTCTGTTTTTAATATTGTTTCACATTAGAATATCACAACTTTTATTGCAAGGAACTAAATGTTGAAATGTAATTTCTTTGAATTACACTTTTTAGTTATGCTTATTGCCTTTATGATTCAATGCAGCAAATTAAATGAATTTAAAAGGTAACAAATCATTGTAATACTTGGTTAATTTGCATAGTGACTAATTGCTGGATGAGCTGTTGGTTTTCAGTTACTGTGGCCCCCTAAGCAGTTTAGTTGAATAGCCCTGGTATAGACCTGAACAGATTTTAGTAAAAGTACACAGTATAGTGCATACATGACCTTAGTAAAAGTATACAGTATGGTGTGTACATGACCATAGTAAAAGTACACAGTATACTGAGTACATGACCTAAGTACAAATGCATAGTACAGGGTGTACATGACCTTAGTTAAAGTAAACAGTATAGTGTGTACATGACCTTAGTAAAAGTATGCAGTATAGTGTGTACATGACCTTAGTAAAAGTAAACAGTATAGTGTGTACATGACCTTAGTAAAAGTATGCAGTATAGTGTGTA